AGCTTCTCTGAAGCAAACGACGGACCAGCAGCACGGACCGTAGATTGACCTACGGTCCGTCAATCCCCTCCGTAGCTCCATACTTAGAATCTTCAAAAATCAGGTACTGGAATCCTCGCAGTATCAATCTACGGATCAACAGTACGGTCCGTAGATCAGTCTACGGACCGTCAATGGGCGTCGTGGTTCCACACTTGGTCAGATTTCCCTGATTTGTCCTCACTACCATGCCTGCTGATCTACGGTCATAACCTACGGACCGTGGATGGATCTACGGTCCGTAGATCACCTCTGTGAATGCCCTTTTCTGCAATTCCTTCAGCTGTCTCTAAACTTCCGCGCCTGAACACCTTTCCTGCAAAACATGATAAAAATACATAAAAAAACAATATAAAAGGGCCCTAGACACACACAACTTGTAAGTGAAATGTAGTAGAAATACCGTAAACTCACGGTATATCAGTGCACTCGGCTTATGCCCTTCTTCCATGTAGATTTTATGCATGCACACCGCGGGAATAATTCCATGGATATTGGACATTTGCCAACCCAACGCTACTTTTCTGTTCTTCAAGATGATTAATGCTGCTTCCACCTGTGCATCAGACAATGCTGTAGACAAAATAATCGATAAAGTTTTATCTTCACCCAAAAATGCATACTTGAGGTGGGATGGCAATGCTTTTAACTACAGATGGGGTTCTTCTTCAATGGAGGGCTGGGTGGAGGACCCAACACCCTATTTAAAGACTCCTAATGATCTCTGGATGTACCTACAAGTGCCACATCAAGAAATTTCACCATTTCTTATGCCTCAGCATCCCCATAGATATAATTTCCTACTAACACTCACTCTAAAGAATCCTTGGAAGTAATGTAGCGATCCTCTGCCTCAAGATCTATCACGGTTATGGAAGACAACTCTTCATAAATAGATGGTAGCTTTAATGCCTTGTACACGTCGAACACCTCCACTTTATCATGTGCCCACATAGTGAGTTGCCCAGCTGCTACATCTATCATAGCCCGACCAGTAGCCAAGAAAGGTCTTCCTAAGATGAATGGGACCTTAGGATCTGGCTCAAAATTCAGAACAACAAAGTGTACTAGGAATATCAACGATCCCACTTACACTAAGACATCCTCTACAACATCCTCAAGCCTAGTAACAGATCTATCAGCCAACTGTAAGATGATGGTAGTAGGTTTAGGACTACCCAACCCCAGCTTTTTGTACAACAAAGTTGCTATCAAATGGATACTAACTCCTAGATCACACAATCCTCGCACATGGATGCTCTGCCCTATAGTGATCTGAACCGTAAAGCTACCCAGATCTTTCAGTTTGGTGGGCAAATTATTTTGGATTCGAGAGTTGCACTCTTCAGTAAGTACAACTATCTCATATTCAGTCAGCCTCCTTTTATTTGCCACAATCTCCTTCACATATTTAGCATACTTGGGTATACCCTGCAAAACATCTACCAATGGTAAGTTAATACGAACTTGTTTCAAAAGAGAGAGAAACTTACCAAAACATTCATCCTCCTTCTGTTTCTTGAAATTTTGAGGGAATGGATGAGGTGGTTTCACTATTAGGCGCACTCTTTCTTCTTATGCAACAACCTCATTCTCTTTACTAATAGCATAAGTGTTTCTTTTCTTAGGAGCTAACTCCTCTAACTGCAAACCACTGTGTGTACCTACCATGTTTACCTGCTTAGGATTTGGATCAGTGTTTGCCAGCAAACCTCCTTGCGGTTGTGAGTTTTGGGCACTAGAAAACTACTCGAATTGTTTCTCGAGATTTTGTATAGCCAACTGGTTGTTTCTTCCATCAGCAGCTAACTGGGCTTGATCAGCCATAATCTTTTTTAGCATCTCCTCCATGGTCATGTTACTAGACTGCTTATTTGGCTTCTCCCATTGGACTTGTGGTTGGTACCCTTGCGCATTTCCTTGGGGTCTATATTGATTTTGACCTTGAGCCTGATTTTGATTACCACCCCAAGAAAATTTGGATGGTTTCGCCAGCTTCGATTGTACAAGTTTCCATAGTTCTGCTGGCCTCCTCCTCGTTGTGCATTATCTACAAAATTCACGGAATCCAGGTTTGCACCACATACCTCTGCACTATCATCACCACCTTCGCAAATTTCACACCAAGTTGGTGGTTGTTGGACTGTATTCACCTGAGTGGGCTTTTGTTCCAACGCTAGATTGTTGAAGTGGGTGTTCATCATGTTTTGTATCGCAGCAATCTGTGCACTTAAAGTAGTCACTCCATCTTCTTCCAGCATACCTGTAGTTTTTTGTATCACCGGTTTCACCCCTCCTCCGTTCCATTCAAGGTTACCCTGTGAGATCCTGTTCAGCAAGGTGAATAACTCAGCATATGTCTTCTCTAAAGCCTGACCACCTGCAGCTGAATGAAGTAAAATTTTGGTGTTTGGCTCCAATCCTTCAATGAAGGTATGGACCAACACCTCATTAGATTGATGGTGATGTGGACAACTCATCAACATCGATTTAAACCTATCCCAAGCTTGGTACAAGTTCTCTCCTCATTTCTGTCTAAAACTTAGGATGTCACTCCTCAACTTAGTTGTTTTTCCAGATGGAAAAAAATTGTTGAGGAACTTCTATGCTAGGTCATTCCAGGAGGTGATAGAGTTAGTGGGCTCAGAATTCAACCATCTTTTTGCTTCCCCAAGCATAGAAAAGGGGAATAAAGTGAGCCTCACTTAATCATCGTTTACTCCAGTTGGAGAGTAAGTATCACTGATCTCGAGGAAGTTTTTGATATGGACTGTTGGATCCTCGTGCGATAGACTAGTGAACTACCCAGTAGTGTGCAATAGTTGGACCATACTCTGCTTCAGTTCAAACCTTCCACCAGCTGCATGTTTCTTAATGCATGATGTCACACTGGTGGTACGTGGGATTTCCACGTTTCTTACCTTCATCTCAGCCATTACTACAGGTTACTGTTGCTCAACTCTTGCTACTGGAGATGTTGGTTCACTAGCAACAAGAGGCACTGGCTAAGTGAGTCTTCTTTGCCTTCTTCACTAGTGAACGAATCTTTCTGGTTCAGCTAGAATCTCTTCCAATCCTTGATCGTCGTCTAGTTTGGAGTTTCAGTACAACCAACAACAATGAATTACTAAGATCAAGTTGTCAACATTTGTTTTTTTTAACTCTGGAAATCAGAAAAAATCAAATAATTTCTAATTCTAAAGTCCCCAACAGCGGCGCCAAATATTTGGTGCGCCCAATTGTATACGCATGCACATGGTCATTCAAGTATTAAAGTGGCTCTTATAAAGAGTCGGGGATCGTACCCACATGAACTTACGATTAGAAACTCGATTGTTCCAATATTTTCAGTTAAGATATCATGATTTCAAGAATGATTTATTTTCTAATCTAAAAGTTGAACAGAATTTAAAAAAATGCGATTCAATTTCAAGTGTTTAAAACAATGATTGGGTAAAGTCCAAGGCTGCAACTCTTATCAAGATTCCTGCAATTTATATTATCTAAATGAGTATTACTCAAATATCGAATCAGTGATCACAGGGTTAAATGTATGATTATGGTCTCTCGAACTCTAATCGCCTACGATAAATGACAAGCTAACTACATCGTTGAGCGGGGATAGATTGGACCAAGTATCGAGCATTACAATTTCTTCTTGTATAGTGACCAAGCATGGTTTCTAGGTATATACCAATCCTAGATACAAATTAACGCTAATTATTGAGAGTTAATCATGCTCCTTATGTCCCGCGTTCTATCCTCTTATTCATCTCCCAAATTCAATTCGGACAATGTGTTTATTTCAATGGTAATCAAGCACAAAAAATGAAAAACAAGAACATAAAAAAGATTCATATGATAATTGACATTAACCAATGAAAACTTAATAAATTACAATCATCAAGTAGCCACAGCCTTACACTAGGGTAATTTGCTACTCATAATCAAAGATTCGATCAAACAATGTTTAAGTATCATAAAAATATAGAAAGTAAAAGAGTTTAGGAAAGAACACTAAAAAATGATGAAATAGATCTCCAAGTTGTCGTTATTCAAAACCCAGAAAAACAATGTTTTAACAAAATAAAGTATTAACCTATTTATACTAACGTCAAAACGACCAAATCTAGAACCCAGGGGTGCGACGTGGAGGCATTCCCAGATTTCGTTCTGGGATCTTTTCTCTTCTCCGCGATATGGCAACTACACAGACCATTTTGTCTAAATTCAAATCTCGCGAATTAAATTAAGAATCCCTCTCCGTGACACGGAGATCACACGGAGTACTCTGCCTAGAACTTTATTTCACGAGCCAAAGTATAATTCCTCTCTGCGACGTGGAGATGATACAACTATGCCTTGGAATTCTTCTCTTTCTTTTTTCTTCCTTGCTTCTTTTCGACTCGGATCTTTTGTGTTCCCCAATGTCCATTTTAGTGCTCGTTTCTCCCTTTAAGCTCACCTACACAACTAATCATGTTGGTTAGCTTATATAAAACCAAAAGACTCGATAAGACTATAAACAAACACATACTGAATTCAAACTTAGCTTAAATACTGGCATTATTAGATTTCTAGGCATATAAATATGCCTAAGATCAGGAGTTTTTTGACAGGTGTCTGGAGAATTTGGATGGGGTGCTGGCTAGATGTGAGGAAACTAATCTCGTCCTAAACTGGGGAAAATGTCATTTTTTAGTGAAGGAAGGGATTGTATTGGGCCATAAGGTGTCAAAGAGAGGGCTGGAAGTTGATCGTACCAAGTGGAAGTCATTGAAAAGCTACCTCCCCAGTCTCTGTTAAAGGGGTGAGAAGCTTTTTTGGTCATGCTGGGTTCTACAGGAGATTCATCAAGGATTTCTATAAGACTGCAAGACCTATGTGTAGTCTCCTAGAGAAGGAGATAAAATTCGTATTCGATGAGCAATGCATTCAAGCTTTTGAAGCTTTGAAGAAGAAGTTGATAGAAGCTCCAATCCCGACTTCCCCAAATTGGGAGCTTCCTTTTGAGTTGATGTGTGACGCAAGTGATGTGGCTGTAGGAGCAGTGTTAGGGAAAAGGAAAGAGAGGGTGTTTCACTCAATATAGGATGCAAGCAAAATACTGGATGCAGTCCAAACCAACTACATAGTGACCGAAAAATAAATGCTAGCCTTGGTCTATGCTTTTGACAAATTTAGATCTTACCTGGTAGGGATTGAAGTTGTTGTTCATACTGACCATGCAGCTATCAAGTACCTGTTCAATAAGAAGGGTGCAAAGTCGTGGTTAATTAGGTGGATTCTATTGTTGTAGGAGTTTGACATAGAGATCAAGGACCAAAGAGGTTATGAAAACCACATTGCAGATCACCTATCAAGATTGGAGAGTTCGTCACATGTGGGAGAGCAAGGTCAGATTCGGGAACATTTTTTTGATGAAAAACTATTGGCGCTAGAGGAGACACAACTACCATGGTATGCAAATATTGTTAATTATTTGGTGATTGGATTGTTCCCACTGGGTGCAACCACACATCAAAAGAAGAGGTTGATTCATGATGCTCGATTCTACATATGGAATGAGCCTTATCTCTTCAAGCAAGGGCCAGAACAAAGGATGAGGAGGTGTGTCCTTGAGTCTGAGATGAGACAAGTGATGGATAGTTTCCACTCGTCTACATATGAGGGTCATCATGGAGGTGAGCGCACTGCACATAAGGTCCTCCAATCAGGTTTTTTCTTGCCTACTCTGTTTAAAGATGTTATAGGGTATGTTAAAAGTTGTGATAAATGCCAGAGGATGGGGTCTATTTCCAAATGACATGAGATGCCTTTGCATAACATCTTGGAGGTTGAAATATTTGATGTCTAGGGATCAACTTCATGGGACCATTCCCTACATCAAATGGAAATCAATATATACTTGTGGTTGTGGACTATGTGTCCAAGTGGGTTGAGGCAGCAATTTTGCCTACTAATGATGCGAAAGTGGTGCTGAAGTTTCTGAAGAAGCATATCTTTACACGATTTGGAACTCCAAGAGAAATAATCAGTGATGGAGGGACACACTTCATAAATCAATTGGTGAAGAATGTCTTAGCTAAATATGGAGTCAGGCAGAAGGTAGCAATATCGTATCACCCTCAAAATAGTGGCCAGGTAGAACTATCAAACCGGGAGGTGAAGTAGATTCTACAAAAAATAGTGAATGCCGAAAGGAAAGATTAGGCAATGAAGCTTGATGATGCATTGTGGGCGTATAGGATTGCATATAAGACACCAATAGGGACTTCTCCATATCACTTGGTGATTGGTAAAGCGTGTCACCTTCCAGTTGAATTAGAACATCAGGCTTACTGGGCAGTGAAAAAGTTGAATCTAGAACTGGAACTAGCTGGGAGAAAAATGATGGGTCAGCTACATTAATTGGAGGAATTCAGACTCCATGCCTATGAAAATGCTAAGCGACTCTTTGAGCCTGGTCAAAAGGTATTATTGTTTCACTCTAGATTGCAGTTGTTTCCAGGTAAGTTGAAATTAAAATGGAGTGGACCATTTGACGTGGTGTGCATGAACGACCACGGAGCTGTAGAGTTATGGAATGAAGGTAAGAAATCCATGTTCATCGTGAATGGATAAAGGGTGAAGCATTATTTCGGACAAGAGGTGGATCGAGAAGAATAAAAAGTTGATCTGAGCAATGAATGAGGGGAATCTGAGTCGTGCCGGGATGTTAAATCAGGCGCTACTCGGGAGGCAACCTGAGACTTCGTACTTTAGAAGATATAACTGTCTGATTGCAGGATGACATTTGTAGCACACAAAAGTCTGGCAAAACGGTTGCGTCTAGCAGCCGTAAGAGAGTGAGGATGGGCAGAAACATTCCCCTAGTACCCGCACTTTAGTATTCCATGTTTTTGTATTTTTGTCATATTTGAGTTGATTGTGTACTCGGAGTTTGAAACTTTACCGCTTAACATTTCAAATTTTGATTATTCGGCATCTAAGGTTGGTTTTTCAAACCCCGAATCCTAATTTAGAAATTTGTACTCATTTGCAATGATTTTATCTTAGTGATGTGTGTTGTTCCTCTCTGATCGTAATTGTATATGTTTGTGCCTGTGTTAATTCGAATATTTTGCCCGTATTGTCTTTAATGTTGAATTCCTGCAATTTTGTGCCTTAAAATTGGTTGAAAATTTTGGGGTTGTGCTTGCATGTTGTTGGGTCTAGTCGGGTGAAGTTTTAGTAGCCCACATTTGTACCAAATGACGTGTTTTGCCCAATGATGGAGCGGTTGACATCATTCTTAAGGGCAAAAGTCATCAAATGGCCAAATTTGGCCAAATCAGGAGAACTCTGAGTATCCCAGGGGCATGGGTGTAATGGGTCTTAGTTTAATCGTGGAAGTGCATATTTTGATTCTATTTTCGGGGGTTGCGGGGTTGAATTTGAGAAGTTGGGTTCAAAGTAGGCACATTGGGTCGTTTGGCGAGTTGGGTCAAGCTTGCCAAACCACTCGGTGGTTCGCCAAAGTTCCCCATATTTCCTTTAATTTCATGCTAAAATTGAAATTACCAAAAGGTCTTTTCATCGCCAACATGCCAAAATTTTCTGAGATTTTTGAGCCATTCCTTTCGGCGAGTCCGATCTAGCTCGCAAAAGTGATTCGGCGACTCACCGACCGGTTCAGCGAGTCTGTCTGCAACTATTTTTCTGTGGATCTGATTGAATTGTTTCTCTTTTTGATGTTTTTGCAGACATTGCTACACCGAAAGTTCCTGGTAGAAACTTGCCACCCTGTAAGAAAGCTAAGGGGATAACTATAAATAAGGATGTCACTGCATCCAAGACTAAGGCCACCAAACTCCCCACAACTGGTGGAAAAGGAAAAGGAAAAGGGAAGGAACCTACATCATCAGATGCCAGCTCCGACAGTGATGGGATCTACGCCACTCACCTCATCACTTCTAAGAGTGAGAGTGAGTACCAGGAGCAGGATATTGCATCTTCAAAGCCCGATGATGATGAAATGTTAGGAGCACAGAGGGCTGAGCTGCGTTCCAAAAAGATGAACGATCCGTCTAGGATCAGGACTCCTCAGGCTACTACTAAACCTCATCCCACTCCACCACAGGCCGTGGTCCCAGCACCACCAGTACATGGTCCTTCCTTCAAGTCTATGAATAGACTGAAGACAGACGGGATTATGAAGACAATCATTAAGGAGAAGCGTCTGTCTACTGATGATGTCATTGACAGATACCCGGAGATATTGACCTACCTAAAGTCACACAAGTTCTAGTTGTTCACTCGACCCCGAGGTCCTTATATTCCAAATTGGGTTCGGGATTCCTATGTTGCGTATGGGGCTTTGATACAACAGAGAAAGAAGCAGGCAACGTCATTCAAATTGGTTCACTATGTAGTTGTCCGAGGTAAGAAAGTGATGTGTGACAGTACTACTATAAATGCGTTTTGGAGTGTACCAACAACATTGCTGATGTTCACCAGTACAAGGTGAAGACTAAGTCCTTAGAGGGAATAAAAAACAGGCTCGCCCCTCTCATATGTAGCGGTACTCCGAGGTGGTTTGAGGCAGGTGCTCCAATATAAAAGAGGGACCTGCATGTAGCTGCGAGGTACTGGTTTAGCTTTATTAGAAGCACTGTAATTCCATCCCAGAATGAGTCCATCATTTTCCACACAAAGGCGGCTAGTCTTGGCTCGATCATTGCACGAGAACACATAAATTTGGGTATGATCGTTGGGCCGGAGATGGCCTTGAGGGCCAAGCAGCGTCCTATTTCTAGTATTGATCACTGATATGTGCAGACGAGCTCGGGTTCCTAGAGATGAGAAGAAAGATATGGAAGTAATTCCCACATCTTCTAGTAATCTCCAGAGGATCGAGGCAGAGTATTTAAAGGATGATAAAGAGAAGAAGAAGGCAGCCCCGGTGGACTCTTCCCCGGTTGTGGATACAAACTCATTACCTGCAGAGGCACCTTTGCCTACTCCGGCCCCGGGGCCTTCAGGTAATTCTAAGGCTGTTCTTTCTGATATTCCAGGTTCTTTTGCTGCTAAATTGTCTGGCAGAGCTGCTGCTATTGTTGTTTCCTAGCCCTCGCTCACTCAGGCTGCACTACTCTAGATGGGGCAGCAAGCCCAGTCTGCCGATCGTCGTGCTGCCAGACTTGAGGCCTCCTTTTCGGGCATGATTCAGACAACCCTTGATGATGATGTGACACCATTGAGAGCTACCATTGATGCTTTTGTGGCTAGGATAGCAGTGTATGAGCATGGCCAAGGGGCCATCGAGGAGGTGACGGTTCTAAAGGCCGCCATTGCTTCACTGAGGAGAGATGTGGACCAGATGAAGTTCACCGACATGTCCATGATGTTTGGGACGATGGAGATCCCAGATGTGCTAGTCGTTCCAGATATGCCTCTGGCTACCACTGGAGATGTTTTTAGAGTTGATGAGGCAACTAATCCTGAGTATGAGGCGGAGACAGATAGGGAGATGCTTGGGGTTGCTGATGAGGTTTCTTATGAGGGCCTTACAGAGACTTAGGAAGCCATGATCGATGCAGCTATATAGACCTCTTTGGCAGATATGCCTTTGGCTGACCCTAGAGAAGCTAGTGATATTGTAAATGTGACTTTGGGCACTGATGCCCCAGTTCAGAACACTACACCGAGCACTGATGCCAGAGAGATGGAGCGACTGTTTAGACAAGTTCCCTTTTCAGCTCCCTCTCTGTCTTATTTTATTTGACTTTTGGATAATTTATCTTTTGCATATGAGGAAAAATAGCTTTTGTTTGTGGTGGGGTGAAGCCCACCATTTGTAATGATTGTTCTGTGTATACATTTAGGTTTTGTGGTATTTATGGTGTTTTGGCACTATTTTTGAAGATGTTTGAGCATGTGGCTCCTTGCTTTATTTGTAAATGATTTTTGGACCCTTACGGAAAAAAATAGTACCACCTCTTATTTGTGTTCGAATGTGGCTGTTCTCTTGCAAATTTGAGTATCGATCTTGATCAATATCGATGATTTGAATGGTGCTCATAATCGAACAAAAATAAATGTTCAGCTACGATGAGGCCAAATGAAGTTGCATAGATAATATGTGAACTTTTTGCATCTCGTTCTGACTAGCCAATTTTCAAATTAAGTTTCTTGTGATTAAAATTATATACTAGCGAAAGTTAGGAGTCTTGTTTGACATTGGTGTCGACGCCTTGTGTGATGAGCTTACCGTGAACCATGTGTGATGACACCTAAAATTTGCCCCATTGGTCCAGTTAACTAAGTGATGCAAGCTCTTGAGATGATCTTAGGCAACCTTGAAGACTATGAAACAATTTGACATTATACCTCTTTTTGTGGCCTACCTTGTGAGTGTGTAAACTTCGCTTGAACGACTTTTGAGCCTTACCATTTTCTTGGAAGAAACTTGATGAAATTGTGACCTTTCTTGATCCATTACCCATAATCCTCATGATTTGTGGTTTGCTTGAATAGCCAACTTAGGCCAAAAGCCTAAGTTGGGGGTGTGGTGAAAAGAAAAGGTAAATAAAGAAGTGCAAAGAAGTCCCCTTTGACCCATGGTTTTGAGAGAAATGGAACCCCTCCATACAAAAAAAAGGGAGATAAAAAGAAGAAAAGAATGAAAAAGAAAAATAATGAAAAAAGTTGTGGAATAAAGTTGTGAAAATGCAAAAAGAAATGGGGTATCCAACAGTCCATGGAAGATGAATAATGGGGTGACTTGTGAGCACGAATGAGAATGATAAAGAAAAGGAAAGAAAGTGTTTTTCACACCACATTTCATGAGGATTACAACCATTGATCCTAAGTGACCATACCTTTGTACTCAGCCCCGTTACAAGCCTTGAAAAGTCTTTTTGATCTTGAGTGATTTGAAACAATTATTGGTTGGAAAATACGGGCAAACCTATGGGTGAAATCATGCATTGTGTTCATCGTTGTGAGTGTGAGTGTTGCATTGGATTCCGGAGCTTTAAATTGTTGAACCATTGTGTGTGAATATGGAATCATTCATTGTGTGAGGGCAGTTGAGTATCTTTGTTGAGCTTGAACTTGCATTTGAAGCAAGTATTGTGAACTTGAGAATCAATGATAATGGTGAGTCACAAATTGAATATTTAAGTGCACAA